TGGGCCAGTTGGCCTCACTTGTCTGTTACCTGATCTCACAATGATTTGTAAAAGAAATATTACAACTTGAAGTGTCCGAGAGACAGAAAATAATAGCATGGAGTATGGGCTCTTGACTGGTTACACTGTATATAAATCCTATAGTTCCAGTGATGCCTTTGTCATCCTCTAAGAATTGCCTTGCCTAGAGGCAGAGTAGCCTCTCCCCCTGATAGCAGTGTTTAAAAAAAAAAAAAGAAAAGAAAATCCAACTTACCAGTCTTGATATGTTGCTCAGGCTAAGTCTGAACACCTTAGCTAAAACGGTTATTCTGCCTCAGTTTCCAAGATAGGTAGGACAGCAGACACATACCATCATGTCTTGCTTTTAGGTAAGTTTCTGAAGATACCTAAAAGTTAACCCATTGTTATATCACTCAGTGGTACTTGGCTTGAAATATATAAAGCCCCAGGATGGTGATTATCAACCTTCTTAATGCTGTGATCCTTTAAAACAGTTTCTCAAGCTGTAGAGAGCCCCCCCCACCACCATAAAACTGCTTTGTTGCAACTTGACAACTGTAAATTTTGTACTGTTAAAAATAGTAATGTAGATATCTGATATGCAAGATATCTGATTTTGACCACCAAAGTAGACACAACCTACAGGTTGAGGACTGCTGCCCTGGGGTGATTCCTGGCCCCATGGAAAAAAAATTTAAAATACAAAAAGTACATTATCTATAGGACTGTGGATATAGCTTAGTTATTAAACATTTGGATAGCATGCATGAAGTTGTGTGTTTGATCACTAATACTGCATACACTGGGAAAGCTGGTAAATATCTGTTGAGGCAGGATTCATTGTAATCCATGACTATATGCAGTGTTTGAAATTATCAAAAGATACATGAGAACTTATAGGAAAGTTAAATAAAAAGTATTAAAATATATGAGTAAATAATTTTTTGAAAATATTTTAGATGATTAATGCTCCTTTACCATAATAAACATTTTCTTCATAATAATTTTTCTGTTTTCAGATTGCTGGCAAGAAATGGATTATGGAAAGCTACCTTTTGATCAGATTTCTGTAGAGGATTTGTCACTGGTCAAGACTCCAAAAGCAAGTCTAGCTGAGCAGCTGTCTAACCTGTATGACATATATGTGCCAATCTTGAAAGGTATTTCACACCTGATCAATCAACTTAGGCAGAAATCATATTTGATCCATACATTTTCAAAATTTCCCCAGGACTGGAATCATCCCAGCTCAGAAAAGACCTTGAAAAAAGACTCAGATACATCCTCACAGGTGAAGAACTATAGAATCTGTGAGTCACTAAAGCCCTTTCATGCTGCAGAAGTTGGAGAGAACTTTCCAGCTGCATTAGACAGTATCCTTCCAAAGACTGTTCCCATTTGTAAGCAACCAAACCTAATCACTGAATGTGGAGAGCATTTTCAAACTAAAGTAAGATATTCTAAACAGGGTGTACTCAGAGAAGCTATCAGCCATAAACATGTTCAGGATGACCACCCAAGAGCCAATGCAGGAAAAAGACATTCTGAGTCTACCAAATGTAGGAAAGTCCACTGGCCTAAAGACTATCATACCCAGCCCCACAAAGTCCACCATAGAGAAAGGTCTTACAAATGCAGTGCATATGGAAAATATTTTAGCCAAACCTCCCACCTAAATAACGATGTCAGAATCCACATTGGAGAAAGACCTTATGAGTGTGATGAATGTGGGAAGTCTTTTGGGTGCAAATCAGCACTTGTTTGGCACCAGCGGATTCATACAGCTGAAAAGTGTTGTGAATGTTCATTGTGAAAGTGATGAATGTGGAAAGTTCTTCACACAGAGCCTTAGTCTGCTTGAATACAGGACGATTCACACTTGAACAAGGCATTACGGGTGTCATGAGAATGGGAAATCCTCTAATCAAAGAATCACTCCCAACAAACATCAGAAACCTCACACTGCAGAAAAGCCTCATGTGTGTGGGGATTGTGGGAAAGCATTTATTTACAAATGTAAGCTTATTTGACACCAGAGGTCTCATACCAGGGAGAAGCCATTTGAGTGCAAAGAATGTGGGAAAGTTTTTCAAGAAACCAATGGGCTTATGCAACACCAGAAACTTCACACTGGATTAAAGCCTTATAAATGTGTCCAGTGTGGTAAGTCTTTTGTCCAAAAGTTTCATCTCTTTCAACACCAGGTAGTTCACACTGGAAAAAGGCCATATCACTGTGGCAAATGTGGCAAATGATTTCATCAACAGTCTACTCTCTTTTTCCACCAAAAAAAATCTCACACCATGGAGATGCCTCATAAAAATAACATGCAGAATAGCTTCAGTCCAAGTTCTAAAATCTAGCTCATGGAAGTTTATACTGGGCTCAAGAAGATGTAGCCCTGCAGGGAATATTCTGTTTTGTTGTTGTTATTGTTGTTTTCCTAGTATTAACTTTTATAATGGAACTACCTGCCTGAAGTTGAGCCTTATGTTTTCAAACATCCAGGGCTTTTGTATTTCTAATGAGTTCAGGCATGGGTGCTACTTACAGGAATTGCTCCATACGTGCTGATCTGATTTGGGCACTTCTCAGAGTTATACTCATGTCACTGAAACCATCGTCCTCTATCAGCTGGTTCATTGCACTTTGGTCATCTCAACATCCTTAGGAGGGGCAAACATCTGAATATTCTCCAGAGGAAACCCTGAGCAAAGCCAAAAAAAAAAAAAAAAAAAAAAAAGACAGGGATGTTTTCTTCTTTGACTAATTGAAACATATCTGTTGTGGTTATTAACCAGGAGGAACCCATCTTCAATCTGCCAGAGTTTTAAAACAATGCCTTTTCCTTCTTTACAGACATTGGTCTCACACTGACACTGTGGTAAAGTTTTCCAGTCTTGTACTTACAACCTGGTGACTACTAACTATTAGTCTATAGACTAATAAATGTTTGACAGTTGAGTCAACCTGTTGTCACAGGAATTCTGGTTACGATTTTCGATGAGAAGAGACAAAATTCACCTCTGCATAGATGGGTCTGCATAGATGGTAGCTTTTGTGGGGTTCTCACTTTCTCCTTTAGGTAGAGGGTAGCTGAAAGTAGTTTTCATTACTTCCTTCATCTAGTTTGTTTTTCTACCCAAGGCCTAGGCTCTGTGTAGGGCTTTGTGGCTTTCATAGCTTCATTTTGTTGAAACCAGAGATCAATAAAGAGGGTTTATTTTTTTCCCCACTTCTAATGATAGCATAAACTGTTTGGCTCTTACACACACCTGGGATGTGGCTGACACTGTAAAGGGGAAGTTTCCCTCTGCCATATGAGGAGAAATATATCCTCAGGTCTATTGATTTACACAGTGTTGGTTACTCAGGCGTGGTAAGAGCCAGGTATGATCCCTATTAGGAAATAAAATGTGTGTGATTAAACAAGAAGTGCAAGGGCTTTACAGCAAAACAAGTGGTTTCTGCCAGTTGGAAAAATTCACAAGTCTAGTGACTCTGCCTTCATTTACTTCTAAGGTCTCCCCAAAATATGTAGTAATGAATGCACAGCTTTGCTGTATAACTGTTAACTGTGAGATTGAAACATTCCATTCTTAAGCAGCCAGTTAAGACAATGCAAAGTAGCTTCAGAAAGTCCCAAAAACAGAGGAGATTTTTTTCAAGGCACATTTTTCCTAAGAGTAATAAACCAAGTTTCAAAGAAGACTGAGACTAGACCAGTTAGTTGCCTAGAAGAAGCAGAAAGCCTAGCTGCCTGGAAGTTTAGACAACCGAGTATCTTTGAAAAGACCCTCTAACCTGTTGAATTGGATTTCGCTGTTGGTATTTGTGGATATTTTAGTTTGACTCATGCTATGTAGCCATGATAGCCCAGAACTAATGATTCTCTTGCCTCTAACATTTTTTTTTGCAGTAATTGCATGGTGTACATCAGCATGAGTTACAACTTCAGATATCTGGTCCCAAGATTGATGGGATGCCAAATACACAAATACAAAATAAACCAAAAAACTTTCCACATGCTAAGAGTTGCAGATTTGCTTAAACTCTGTTCATCTTTAATTGTGGGCCACAGTTACATTTAACACTAGTTTATGACCAGTTGGTGACTACTGCTATCTACCTCCATAAGTGCCAGGGACTGTTTCCAAAGGGCTGTGCCCTCAGGAAAGAGGGAGTTGCACAACTTGCAGGCAGCCTCACACAGATCCTGATTTTGTTTTTGTTTTGTTTGTTTTGTTTTCTAGAGAGGCAATTTCTGCTTCTCATTGATATTCAGGCTATTCAGTCAACTCTCTAGGTACTGGACAGATATATTTGAAGTTTAAGGAGCTGTGTGAGATCTGTGTGTGATCTCTTAGGGCGACACTGAAGAAATGGAAAATCAAGTGCCATGAAAGATAGGGTGTTAGAATACAGAAGGAGGGGGAATCTAAGCAGGGAAATGTAGGAGTCACAACAGATTTAGATTCGGCTCCCTGCAAGTGGCTTCCAGCATTGGACCAGGAGGCCAGGTGCCCTGAGCTAGTTCAAGAGGCTAGGCATGGGCTCTCCATAGGGATGTCTGTCCAGCATTTGGGTACAAATGGAGAAGTTCCGTAGCTTCCTCCGGGCTTGAGTTCATTTATACAACCACAGACTCTTCGGACCTCCTGACTAGCATCCTTGTATTCTGTTTGCCCCCAGGTTGGAAAACACTGGAGTGGCTCAATACTATGGCCGAGGACTTCAGAAAAGAAGACAGATGAAAAAGGGTTGTTTGCTAGCGTACATGACATTTCTCAGCATCCATCCCACTTGGCCTTTGTTCCAGGTGATGAGGTTGCACAGCTTCACCACCCGAAGACGCATATCTGAAAGAACTACGTTACCCAGAATGCACTATACGCAGAGAGAGGAACATGAGCCAATGAACATTTAGGATTGTACCATCTTCAGGTTTTGGATGGAGGGATTGGGCGGGATTTCCGGCTGCGCTCCGTGGCGCTCATTTTAGCGGTTTTTGGGTCCCTCCTTTCAGATCGTGTGCAAGACCCCTTTGTCCAGAGGTACGGGTAGAACAGTCTCAAAGGAGCGGTTCTAGGGGATAATATCCATCGCACTCCGGGCACTGACAGTGGCAGTATTGTCCAGGTCCCCCGTTTCCATTTCTCCGTTGTCTGCGCTCGCTTACTTGGATGGCTGTGCCCACGCTCATGCACCAGGCTTAGGTAAGTGTTGCGACATCTGTGGCTGGCTCTCTGCTCCTCACCACTTATCTTGCGGTCGGAGTTAGGGAGTCCACTTAAGTCGCTACTCCCCAGATCCCTGTATCTGTAGGAGTACGTGATTCGGGTTTCCTATTTGCAAAGCTCCAGTGAGGAGACAAGAGTGGGACAGCCAGGACCATAATGTGCATAATTTCTTGGAACAACGCTCAAGTGTGGACTATTTAGGCCCGTAATAATGAGATGAAGTGTTGTACCATTATCCCCATGATAGGAATTTGTGTTCCACAGACTTGAATGTGGGTTTTCGGTTTTCCAAAAAGCTGCTCATGGTGAGAAAATGAGTGTGCGTGTGTGTGTGTGTGTGCGCGCGCGTGCGCGTGCGTGTGTGTCTGTTCTCATCTCAGCTAGTTCTTGGTCCATCCTAGTGTTTTCCAACCTGGGGGTTGGATGGAGATGTATCACAGGCCAGTTGAATCATTGTCTGAGGGCCCATGAGTAAGCACCAGCACCGAGGATTTAGGATCAGATGTAATGAGGGCATCCCTATGTCACCTTGCTCCAGGTTGGAAGAGGGTATAGAAAAAACTAAAGCTTTGGATTCCTACCGTCATTCATGACGTCTTTATCTCACAGGTGGCCATGACTGCAGAAGTGGATATGGCCCTCATGCAGGTGAGGAGAATATGTCCCAGGCTGTCACTGAGACGTTTGTCTTGAGTCAAAGGACCCTTAACAAACTGAAGGTTGGGGTGGTTCATTTTGGAAACAAACAATAGAATGTGGTATGTAAGGTTGACCCAGGCATTGGTATGTGTAAATGTTTGGAGATGAATCTCATGTGGTTCATTTCTTCAAAGGGAACTGAACGTGGCAGGGCAGGATTCAAATCTGGAATGAATCTCAGTGTTCTGCTTTCGAGTGATGAGAGTCATTCAGCATTTAGGGAAAGGAAAGGGAAGAGGAGGGAGGTGATCTAATGTTAGTCAAATAAACCTCCATGTTTCTGTTGCATGGAGAAGCTAGTTATTGTGAGGGAGGCAATAAGACCTCTGGGGGTGAGAGGGGGGAGTGTTACCAGTGACTAGCCCAGCTTGAAGGTGGAGGAAGCGCTAGCTAGGAGTCTAGATTAGTTTTGAAACTGGAGCTGCTTAGAGTCTCAGATTTTAAAAAGGGGAAAATACTATTTATCCAGTCTCTGGGATAGTGATTCTCAACCTTCCTAACGCTGCCGTCCTTTAATAGAGTTCCTCATGTTGTGGTGACCCTCAATCATAAAATTGTTTTCATTGCTACTTCATAACTATACTTGTGCTACTTTTATGAACTGGAGCGTAAATACCTGTGTTTTCCTGTGGTCCTAGACATCCCCAGTGCAGGGGTCTTTAACCCCAAATGGGTCACAGTCCACAGGATGAGAACCGCTGCTTTAGGAGTTTAAAATCTGGAAGGATGGAAACTCCATCAAATGTAATGTAAAGTTGCTCATCCGGTTCATTTCCATTTAGAAAAAAATTTAATTGCTTTTGGCTACTTCTAAGGTCTTTCAAAATCAAGGAAGGAAGATATTATGAGGTTCGTGGCCTTATAGATGTTGAATTTGAGAGGAGGTTTAACATAGATTTATCCAAAGAAAGTATTGGTTACTATTTAGCTAAAAATGTAGGTGTTAGACTTCGGAGCACAGCTTAGAACAGACAACACCAGAACAAAGGGTTCCAAAGGGGAAGGGGTTTATTCAGGACAGAGGGCAAAGGTGGGGAGAGAAATGGGAGAAGATGGCGGAGAAAGAGTAGAGAGAGAGGGGAGAAATGGAGGCCAGCCATGACCATGACCACATGGAGAGAGGGGGAAGGGAAGGGGGGAGA